TGTTGCTTCTGAGCTAGATGGCCGCTTGTTTACCTTCAAGCCTTTAAGACCCCAGACGCTATATCTTTTGATAGCCGGGCACCATCAACTTTCTTCACCCGCTTATTCTTTTTTTATTTGCTTATTATTTGCTTATTCACCCGCTTTGTCTTCAGCGGTTCAGCGGTTGTGTCGGGAAGGTGAGCATCATAGTACCTGTGTCTCTTGCAGCTTGTGTGGGCCACCTCGAGCCAGCTGGGCTGTGGGCAGCATCGCTGCTCTGTGAACCAGGCAGAGATGGAGACCTTTGTGTGTGTCTACTTCCCAGGGTAAGCCCCCATGACTGGGGGGTGGGGGGCGGTAGGGACCACTCTCTTCTGCTGGGCTGAAGGGTGAGTAGGGGGTAGGGTGAGATGGGATACTTTCACCCAGGATGAGACACTACCCGCCCACTCATGCAGAAAGCTGTGACCATGGCTCCCCTGGTCTGAACCCTTGGTGGAGAGGGAAGAAAGTGGAAAGGGAGAGGGTGCGGAAGCGCCCAGGATTCTGACCGTTCGAAGGTGGCCTCCTCTAGAGCTCCTTCCTGGCAGTGAAACCTCATTTTCAGGGGTTGTGCCCACTCTTTGGAGTCATCCCTCTGTTCTTAGGAAGCCTCCCTCCCTCACACTGACTACTGGCCATGCTTGCCCATGCATGGCCAGACCCTTCCAGACCCTCTGTTGCTTGCTCTCACAGAGGCAACTGGGAGGTGAATAGAAAGATGATTGCACCCTATAAGAAAGGTGCCTGGTGCTCACTCTGCACAGCCAGTGTCTCCGGATGCTTCAAAGCCTGGGACCACGCTGGGGCGCTCTGTGGTGAGTGCCCCACCCTGCCTGTCTCCTCCCAGGGCAGCAGGTACATAGAGTAGATCTGTGTATCCTAAGTGGGTGAACAGCATCCTGAGGGGCTGGCCGGGAAGTCCTAGCCCACAAGCCCCTGCAGATGCACCTGCCTGGCTTCCTGGAAAAGCCTCTTCCAAAGCCCCCTCCTCCTCTGCCCAGAGGTCCCCAGGAACCCGTGCCGCATGAGCTGCCAGAACCATGGACGCCTCAATGTCAGCACCTGCCACTGCCACTGCCCCTCTGGCTACACAGGCCGATACTGCCAAGGTGAGGGACACCTGGGGCCCGGGGAACCCCATGTGTGTGGGCGAAGCTGGAAGTCACTGAAGTGGGGAGGAGGGAGACTGAGTTCACATGTGCACACACATGCGTGCATGCTGTGCCCTGGACAGGGGCGGGGTGTACACTGACCTCTGTACACTGACCTGATGGTGTGTTGGCTGTACACACACAAGTTGCCTACACCACCATCCTGAGCACCTAATGTCGAAGACCCTGATTTGGTCTTGAGTCTCTGGGGTGAAAAAGTATAAAATTAGGTTCTTGCCCCACTGTCTCCCCAGCTCTGTGGCCCTGGGCCTGTGACCTAAGCCTGATTTGCTTCTCTCCACACCGGGCATCCAACCCAAGATGCCATGGGCAGAAGCCAGCTGACCGCCCTCTGGGCTCCATCCCAGGGAGGGGCTCTTGATAGGGTTGGCCAGACCCTGTGTGTCAGAGCCCACGAGGGCAGCAGGGTGGTGGCAGCCGCTGAGCACTGCCCTCTTGCCTGTCGCGCAGTGCGGTGCAGCGTGCGGTGTGTGCACGGCCGGTTCCGGGAAGAGGAGTGCTCCTGCGTCTGTGATGTGGGTTTCGGGGGTGCCCAATGCACCGGTGAGTTGGCGGCCTGGGGGTGGGGGCCCTTCCTGAGTGTCTTCCCGGCTTTGCCTTCAGCCACATCACAGTGGCCACTCAAAGTGGGCAAATGCTACAAAGAGTGCTTTTCTCTTTAAGGTCACCTGTTACAATGACCCAGTGACACACCCCCACCCACCCTACCTGCCCCCCACACCCACACCCACCACACACATACTTCCCAGTGGAAGCCATGCAGAGAGGAAGGGGAAGGGGTACTCTGAGCTCAGCTTCTGCCCCGGGGGGGAGGGTAGGCTTCTGAGGTTCTCTCTCTCCCGGCTCCACTCTTTCGCTCCAGCCAAGGTCCACTTCCCCTTCCATACCTGTGACCTGAGGATCGAGGGGGACTGCTTCGTGGTGTCCTCGGAGGCAGACACTTACTACGGAGCCAAAATGAAATGTCAGGTGACTGTGATCCCCTGCCTTCATGGGGACCTTCAGGGTCTCAAGTGAGTCCTTGCTGGTGGGACCCTGACCTCTCCTGGCCTCTCGTTCCTCACCAGTATAAAGCAGGAACCGCACATTCAGAAGCCCCTGGAAGCCAGGAGCCCTGTAAGGAACTGAGGGACCCAAGGGGCAGGGCCCACCCAAGCCCACCGAGGGGAGCCATCCTACCCTGACTCGGTTCCTGGCACAGGAGGCCATGTAGGATGGGGGTTCAGAGGGGCTAGAACTGGACATCATTCAAGAGCTCCAGAAATCCAAATTCTCCCTGGCGCCCGTTGACTTATTTATGTGGCAACCAATACACACTCATGCAGGCTATGACATGGCGCAGGTGAAACAGAGCCCCACCGCACCAGAGCCCTGCCTGGGTGCTGACTGTCTGGGTCCCTGTGCCTGGGCAGGAGAGAGGAGAGAGGCTGACTGGGGCTAGAGAGATGAGCAGGGACTTAGGAAGCACAGTCTGTACTCCAGGAAGCAGGGGACTAGCCAGGCTTCATAGTTCTGAGCACCGCTGCCAGTACAGTAGGCCCACTTCTCCCATGATGCTGAAGAGGGTGGTGGGGAGGGCTGCCTGAACCAGGGACCCTGCTTGCCTGACCCTGGCGGGGATTTCAGGGAAAGGGTGGAGTGCTCGCCCAGATTGAGAGTCAAAAAGTGCAGGACATCCTCTCCTTCTACCTGGGTCGCCTAGAGACCAACAACAAAGTGGCCGACAGTGACTTTGAGACCAGGAACTTCTGGATTGGTGAGTGCTGGGCATGTTGGGAGGTGCCCTGGATGTGGGCATCCACAGGCAACCATAGCAGGGTGAGGAATGGGGCCAGAAAGGCATGAAGGGAGACCCTGGGGCTTGAGTGGTGGAGCCAACCTGGGCTGCCCGGGCCTAGGCCTCACCTACAAGGCTGCGAAGGACTCCTTCCGCTGGACTATGGGGCAGGACCAGTCGTCCTTCACCAGCTTTGCCTTCGGACAACCTGACAACCAGGGGTGAGTCTGGGGTGCCCTCTCCCTGGGGTCCACATTCTTGCCTGGCCTGCCTGGCTAAGCCTTCAGACTGCCCTAAGGAACTGACCCCTGGTCTGGCGCAGTGCTGGGTGAGGGAAATAACAGAAAGCCGACCCCTGGAGCTAACACTAGAGAGGGGGACCTGAGAAGGCCACCTCTATCCTCCTGCCCCCATCCGCCCCTCAGCACCCAAGGCTCAGCCTGTATCAACACACTAGTACCAGCGTTCTGCCAACTCCCCTTCCCCCACACACACTATGTCTGCACCCAGCTGCCCAGCAACCACCCTATGCTGTGGCCCTGCCTTTACTGCTAGGCCCAGGGATGCAGGGGTGGGGGGTGGGGGGGTGTAAGCACGGCAGGTGTGAACCTGGCAGGCAATGTGGTCAGCAAAGGCTTTAAATGTCTCAAGCCCCACTTTCCTTCCTTGCTAGCCCACCAGGTCAGGCAGTGGGGTAGGTGGGATTGTTACCTGAGGGTGGGAGTTTCCAGAGATCTTTGCTTGCCTGAGGAGAGCTGAAGAGGTGGGAGAAACAAGTGGCCTGCTGCTGTGGGGGGTGGGGGTGGCGGGCATGCGAGCCTCTCCTCTCCCCTTCTGGGCACCTGGAACCTTGACTTGGCAGGTTTGGCAATTGTGTGGAGCTGCAGGCATCGGCTGCCTTCAATTGGAACGACCAACGCTGTAAAACCCGAAACCGATACATCTGCCAGTTTGGTGAGAGCCTTCCCACCATTGCCCACCTCCAACCCCTGCCCCTGCTCACAGCATACTGGCCGGGGCACCCTCTGGTCGCTGCAGGCTGCTGGGGGTATCCAAAGTGTGTTTGAGCCCATCAGGCTGCTGAGGACATCCTGCCCAGACGGCAGTGAGGCCCAGTGTTGCATAGCAAGTTCACAGACAGCAACAGCCTCTGGGGTTCCCCCCAGGCCCCATTACTCCTCCCATTCCTAAAACTGCTGCCTGGGACCTGCCTCACCCCTCTATGATTCCCAGGAGTCCTGTGAACTGTGTCTGGGGGCCGAGGTGAAACCTGGCCCAGCACCAGCTCCTAGAAGTGACGGCTGGAATGGGTGGGTACTCGTGGGCTGGGAGCAGATGGCTTGGGCTGCCCCAACCCTTGCTCTGTTCTGCCTCCTTTCCAAGCTCAGAAGCACATTTCCCGGTGGGACCCAGGACCCTGAGGCCCTGCATCTCCTCTGCCAGCCCTTGGGTCCACCAGCCTTGCTTCCCTGTCTGCCCACATGCCTGGAACAGGGGCCAGGCTAAGACCACATGCCCAGCATCCAAGGAAATCTCAAGCCAACACAGGGAGCAGGGCAGAAGGTGCAGTAAGGCCATGGAGGACGGAGGGCCTGCGGAGCCTGACTTGCAGCCTGCTTTGGTTGGGAAGATGGGGCTCAACTGGGCCCCGCTGCAGGAGGCAGGCCCAGCTGTCAGAAGAGGCCTCTGGGCAGTCGCTTTGCAGCATCTGGGGCTTGCCCTCCACCCAGAATGCACTCTTCGAAGGATTAAAGGAAGTTATGGGTTGGCCAGTCTTGTGAGTGGTCCTTCTCAAGGGGAATGGCAGGTCCCAGGATGATTCTGGGGAAAACCAGGCTTGGTGGCTCTGTGCCTCCAATTCAGAGAGGCCCCTGTGCTCCAGGAAGTGTGGCAGAAGTTCACGGAAGTAGTTGTGGGTCTGAACTACTGGGAAACGGTGTGTGCGCCTTTGGAAGTGAGAGCCCCACCCCTCATCCTGCCCCTCAGACATCCAGGGCTCACAGCCCATGTGTCAGGCACCTTTAGCAGCACTTGACACCTACCATTACCAGCCACCGCGTCCTTGCTGAGGGAGTAGGTCTGTGTAGTCTCACCGTCCCAGTTTGCATTTGGGCTGAAGGAACTGAGGCAGGTGTTGGATCATTTGCCTACAATCACTGGAAAGGGGCCCTTCTTTCCACTTGCGTGGGGCGGTTCAGCCCGTCTGTGGGGGTGGGAAGAGGTGAAGTTTGGGGCGTTCACACAGCTGTCCCCAACAACTCAGCCACGTCGCCTAGGGAAGAGGCTCAGGCCCCTGGGGGGAGATTTGCCTAAAGTGGCCGCCAGCAGGGTTCAGATTAGAGCCTCCCGCCCCAGCTGGTAGGGGTGAGTCCGGGCGGGCAGACTGTCTCCGGTACACGCGAGGCCGAGGCCCCTGGGGGGAGATTTGCCTAAAGTGGCCGCCAGCAGGGTTCAGATTAGAGCCTCCCGCCCCAGCTGGTAGGGGTGAGTCCGGGCAGGCAGACTGTCTCCGGTACACGCGAGGCCGCCGGGAAGGAGCTACGCCCGCTCCCACCCCAGTGCAGCGGTGGCAGATCCCGGGAGGAACACCGGAGCCGGGGTGCGCAGGCTCCGTGGGAGCCATGTCCGCGCACGCGCAGTTGCAGGGCCTGAGACCTAGGCCGCCCTACG